AGCTCTTCTTCCAAGGAGCAAATGTCTTTTTTTCATGGCTGAAGTCACCATCTGCAGTGATTTTAGAGCCCAAGAAAATAAAGCCTGTCACTGTTTGCATTGTTTCCCATCTATTTTCCATCAAGTGATGGAACCAGATGGAATGGGAAAGACTAGAGGTCACTTTAAGAAAATCAGAGATATCAAGGGAACTTTTCATGCAAAGATGGGCACAATAAAGGAAAGAAAATGTATGGACCTAACAGAAGCAGAAGATATTAAGAAGAGGTGGCAAGAACAAACAGAAGAACTATAAAAAAAAGATCTTCAAGACCCAGATATTCATGATGCTGTGATCACTCACCTAGAACCAGACATCATGGATGGGAAGTCAAGTGAACCTTAGGAAGCATCACTACGAACAAAGCTAGTGGAGGTTATGGAATCCCAGTTGAGCTGTTTCAAATCCTAAAAGATGATACTGTGAAAGTGCTACACTCAATATGCCAGCAAATTTGGAAAACTCAACAGTAGCCACAGGACTGGAAAAGGTCAGTTTTCATTCCAATTCCAAAGAAAGGCAATCCCAAAGAATGCTCAAACTACCACACAACTGCACTCATCTCACACACTAGCAAAGTAATGCTCAAAATCTCCAGGCCAGGTTTCAACCGTCTGTGAACCGTGAACTTCCAGATAGATGTTCAAGCTGGATTTAGAAAAGGCAGAGGAACCAGTGAGCAAATTGCCAACGTCTGTTGGATCATTGAAAAAGCAAGAGAGTTCCAGAAAAACATCTCCTGCTCTATTGACTATGCCAAAGCCTTTGACTGTGTGGATCACAATAAACTGTGGAAAATTCTTAAAGAGATGGGAATTCCAGACCACCTGATGTGTCTCTTGAGAAATCTGTATGCAGGTCAGGAAGCAACAGTTAGGTCTGTACATGGAACAATAGACTGGTTCCAAATCAGGGAGGGAGTACGTCAAGGCTGTATATTGTCACCCTGCTTATTTAACTTATATGTAGAGTACATCATGAGAAATGCTGGACTGGATGAAGCCCAAGCTGGCATCAAGATTGTGGGGAGAAATATCAATAACTTCAGATATGCAGATGATACCACCCTTATGGCAGAAAGTGAAGAAGAACTAAAGAGCCTCTTGATGAAAGTGAAAGAAGAGAGTGAAAAAGTTGGCTTAAAACTCAATATTCAGAAAGCTAAGATCATGGCATCCAGTCCGATCACTTCATGGCAAATACATAGGGAAATGGTGGAAACAGTAGCAGACTTTATTTTCTTGGGCTACAAAATCACTGCAGATGGTGACTACAGCCGTGAAGTTAAAAGATGTTTGCTCCTTGGAAGAAAACTTATGACCAACCTAGACAGCTTATTAAAAAGCAGAGACATTGCTTTGCCAACAAAGGACCATCTAGTCAAAGCTATTGTTTTTCCAGTAGTTGTGTATGGATGTGAGAGTTGGACTATAAAGAAAGCTGAGTGTGAAAGAATTGATGCTTTTGAACTGTGGTGTTGGAGAAGACTTTTGAGAGTCCCTTGGACTGCAAGGAGATCCAACCAGTCCATCCTAAAGGAGATCAGTCCTGGTTGTTCATTGGAAGGACTGATGCTGAAGTTGAAACTCCAATACTTTGGCACTCCAATACCTGATGCAAAGAGCTGACTCATTGGAAAATACCATGATGCTGGGAAAGATTAAAGGTGGGAGGAGAAGGGAACAACAGGGGATGAGATCGTTGGATGGCATCACCGACTCAATGGACATGAGTTTGAGTAAACTCTGGGAGTTGGTGATGGACAGGGAGGCCTGGTGTGCTGCAGTCCATTGGGTCGCAGAGAGTTGGACAGGAATGAGCAACTGAAATGAATGAATGAATGAATGAATGATGGAACCAGATACCATGATTTTCGTTTTTTGAATGTTGACTTTTAAGCCAGCATTTCACTGTCCTCTTTCACTTTCCTCAAGAGGCTCTTCAGTTCCTCTTCACTTTCTGCCATAAAGGTGGTATCATCTGCATATCTGAGGTTATTGATATTTTTCCTGTCAATCTTCATTCCAACTTGTGTTTCATCCAGCCCAGCATTTGCCATGATGTCCTCTGCATATGAGGTAGTTAAGCAGGGTGACAATATACACCCTTGACATACTCCTTTCCCAATTTGGAACCAGTCTGTTGTTCCATGTCCATTTCTCGCCTCCTTTATCATAGATTAGGTGACTGTAGATGCTTGTGTTTATCTCTGGACTTTCTTTTATGTTCCATTGCTCTATATTTCTGATTTTGTGCCAGTACCATGCTGTTTTGATTCCTGTAGCTTTGGAGTATAGTTTAAAGTCACAGACCCTAGTTACTCCAGCTTTGTTTTTCAAAACCCAGATTTTTTTTAAAGAAAACTAGGAAATAAATATGTGATGTTGTGTGATAATTTATCTCTTGATATTTTGGCAAATAAAACTTTAACCCTAATTTGTCCTCATTTTCTCTTTATTTTTCTGCCCTCCCAAATCAGTATTGCTTAAACTGTCTGTCAAGTCATGAAACAGGTTAATAGAGAAAATAGATACATCTATCCAAAGATTATGATAGATTTCTTGCAGAAGACCAGTTTCTCATCTGTGGAGTTTCCTAAAAGCTGAAAAGGGGGTTTGGGTTTTTGTTGTTGTTGTTCTGTTTGTCACAACATCATAGTTGTTGTCTTTAAATTTTTTCATGTTATATAAAGTAAATTATAATATATTTCCTTTCTTGAATCACATTCTTGTCATGGCGAAAGGGCTTGCGTAACTCAATGAAGCTTTGAGCCATGCTATACCAGGCCACCCAAGGCAGATGTGTCATAGTGAAGAGTTCTGACAAAACATGGTCCACTGGTGGAGGAAATGGCACCCCATTCTGTTATCCTTGCTGCAAGAACTCCATTAACAATATCAAAAGGCACAAATATATTACACTGGAAGATGAGCCCCCCAGGTGGGAAGGTGTCCAGTATGCTACTGGGGATGGATGGAAGGCAATCACTAAACACTCCCGAAAGAGTTAAGTAATGGACCAAAGCAAAAGCAGTGCTCAACTGTAGATGTGTCTGGTGGTGAAAGTAAAGTCCGATTCTGTAAAGACATAGGATCCTAGGCGCTACAGTCCATGGGATAACAAACAATCAGCTACAACTTAGCCACTGAATAATCTTTTATTTGAATTTTTTGATTTATGGAAATAGGTAGATATTTATGTGATGGTATGCATAGTCCTTATTTTGTGGCTCATTCATAGATTTCTAAGTTTGCAGATGAACCTGCTTTTCAGAGAACTGATCCAGATATATTTCTATTTGTCATAAAATTCACCTATTTGAAACAACCTTCTTAAAACTTTACTTAAATATAAAACAACTTGACATTTTTAATACTCTTAGCCTGCTTTCTAAATGGGTATGTACAGTCTTACCATCTAGAGATAAAATTGTTGGAAGTCAATCAAGTCTTCATGTGATTATAATCATTCCTATGTAGAGATGCATATCTTCACCCAGTAATGCTCAATACTAATTAATGCCCTGTCTTGACATTCTGTATTAACTTTTATTGCTGAGACAATAGCACATTCTATTCCATTTCTATGAACTGGAATATTACATTTCCAGAAGATTCCAAAATAGTGAAATTTTCTCAGATTTTTACCTGATTTGGTTTCATTATCAGGATCCATTCAGTCACTTAGTCGTGTCCGACTCTTCGTGACCCCATAAACCACAGCATGCCAGGCCTCCCTGTCCATCACAAATTGTTGGAGTCTACCCAACCTATGTCCATTGAGTCGGTGATGCCATCCAATGATGTCATCCTCTGTCGTCCCTTTCTCCTGCCCTCAATCTTTCACAGCATCAAGGTCTTTTCAAATGAGTCAGCTCTTCTCATCAGGTGGCCAAAATATTGGAGTTTCAGCTTCAACGTCAGTCCTTCCCATGATTTGGTTTAGGGTTTACTTAAAAAAAAAAAAAAAGTAGCCTCCAGGAAAAATTCCTCCAATGAAGCAATTAACATCCTAGTGATCACAGGCTATTTCTTATAGAGCAGGAATACCAAAGGTCCTTTTAGTCAACTCTGGCACCATAATGACACTCTACAGCATGCCTCTGTGAAGTTGTAACAAGCACTTCTGGGAATAGAAGGGGCACTTTTGGTAGTTATGTCCAAATGATAGGCCTCAATTGGTTTGTTACCTTACTGAAGGCCTAAGGGTTCAGATCTAGAGCTTTTCAGAATTGGTCTAGATTCTGATATAGAGACACCCATTTTGAAAGCTCATTTATATTTTGAAATTATCATTGAATACCATTAGGAAACTATTAAAAAATCTAGAAATATCATACATATACCTATATAAAATAGATTTAAAATTTTATCTTTTGGATATTTTTATTAATAATATTCATTTCAGTCATAACTCAGTCTGATATCACAGTCAGATTCCTTAACTTTAGTTAAATACATTGGAACGAATTTTGTTATTTAGTCAGATAAATTGTAATAAATTCTGTTCCTTGTTTAATTGTTTTTTAATGAATGCCATTCTTTCAGTTGATTAAAGCAATTTTTCCAGTGACTTTGTAAATTGTCCTACATTGAGTGGATTTTAAATAGTAATTAATTGCCTGGGAAGCAGAAGAACAGAGTGGTTATTATGGCTCAAAGGAATTTAAGGAAAAAGAATTTCTAACCATTACAGTTATGTAGATCTTCCCCCTAGTATCCACAAAATGTTTTAACTTGAATTCTCTCTCTTTGATTTTATAGTTTCAACTCAAATATAAACTGTTTTCAAAAATATATTATGCCCCTATTTCTATAAAAGTATACACGTTCTATTTTTAAATGCCAAGTTGTGTTGATTCCATAGAGATTTGGGGAAATTTATCCTAATGGGAATAATTACTATGGGAGCTAAAAATAATAGATGTGTCCTTCTTTTTCCTTCTTTTTTTTTTAAAAAGCTGGACCTGTGATCTTCAGAATGCTGAGTTATCCCCCAACTCGCCGAGCGTTAATTGTGGGTTGTGGTCTACAAATGTTCCAACAGCTCTCAGGCATTAACACCATCATGTATGTATTTCTCTCTGACTTTTTTATTGAAAAGATTGTGAGGAATTATTTTATATGGAAAATAAATAGTAGGACTCTTGCTGATTTGTTTTTATTAAATGTATAGAATTCTCCTTTGGGGAGATACTTAACTGTACAGTGTTTAACAATCTTACCAAATTTTAACTGGAAGAGTGACTTACTTATTTTGTTCATTGTAATTATTGGCTTTATTTGATTTCTTACAATTTCTGTTTTATGCCATCAGTTAGTTTCTTTTATTTTTAGCTACTAAATGTCATTTTTCATAAGCTATTTCTTGATTCTCATTAAAAAGTAAACCAAAGGGTAAACCTGGCATTTATTAGAGATCAGTGGACACACAACTAGTTCATTTCCTTCTAGGACAGTCAGTTACAATGCAGTGTAATAAGAACATTAATAGAAGTATGTCTTTTACAACTAGAGTACAGTGGACCAGGGATGGACTGGGAGCAAAGAAGTAGGGAATATACCAAAATTCCATGTTTTCTAGTTTTCACAGTAATTCTCAAAGTTGTATGTGTGTTGTGGGTGAAGCAGAGTGAATAGTGGGGGTTCTACCGTATTTCATTCATTCGATGTTAAACCCATTTTTGATGGTTGATTTTGTACTAGATACATAGCAGTGAATACAGGAGACATAGTTCTTGGCCTAATAGTATATACAGGCTGGTGGAGGAAATAACACATTAAATAAATTGACAATTTAATACAGAATTTCATATTGTCATAAGAACTACATAAGATTGTTCCAAGAGGAGACTTTTAAGATCCTAGGTAACAGAATATGGGTTAGAGAAAAGCCATGATTTTTGCTGAGAATCTGGTTATTGGCAAAAAGCTCCTATGTTCTCAGAAGCTTTCCCCTATACATACTGGTTAAAATTATTCATTAGAAAAATACAAATTATGTAAAATTGGATTTTACCTAGTAAACCATTTGTTTGGGGGACTTTTGATTTTTTTTTAAATTACTTGGGTTATAATGAATTATTCAGTGGTAATTTCAGAAGAGTGAATTAGTTAAAGTAGTAACTAGGACCCAAGGACCCATTAGATTAAGTTGGAATTGATTAAGAAACTTCAACTTGAATATATCCATACCCTTTGTGAATTTGACTTTAATGGTAATCCTTGTTAGCCATCAGCTTTCTGAGCTACATTTTAATATTGGTTCTCTCCTCCCCTCTAACATTTACTTTCATTTTTTCCTCACCATCATCATATCTATTAAGCTTATCTGTCAGTATGGCACCTAACATTTTTGTTCCTGGACGTGGCATACCGTGACTTTTCTGAGGCACGTCCACTGTCCTTAGTGTGGTAATGGTATGGAATTGTAACAAGGCTAGCACCAATCTTTCAAACAACGCAATTCAGTAATAATCCTATGTACAAATCTAGTTCATCAACCTAATTTAACATCTGTCCTATTTCTGAAAATCTTTTGTTTGTTCTACCCTTTTCTAGGCATTTAAATTTGACAAGTTTAAAGCGTAGAAAGTGAATTTTTGTTGTGCTTTTTTGTAGTCCTGTAAAACAAGGATCACAGACAGAGCCAATCTAATTGGTGGGTGAGGTGAAGCCAGTGTGTTCCTAGTTGAAATGATTGTTATATCACAAGTCCACTTGTGATATCTAATGTAAAATGTGCTGATTCAGGTTTTCAAATTTTAATAAAGTGTTTATTTCTCCAAATTCTCAGTCTTTTCGCAGTGAGATCAAGTGATATGACTATAAGGATCCTGATATTCCATAAGATGTATGATAGTCATTAATGTACTTTGCTTATCACAAACTAATAGGTAATGTCTTCAATACAGCTGTTGCTTGTAGTTGAGTATTAATCCTGGAAAGTAAGAATAATAAAATAAGGTAAATTATGGTTAATTTTACACTGTCTACATGATGCAGAATAGCTGGCAACTCCCTGCAGACTTTAATATAACCTTAGTATTGGAGGTTAGAAGACTAGACACTTACATGATGTTACCCATGCTAAGTAACTGTTGGTTTTTCGTAGTACATAACTTCAGACATTCATATTTTAAGCTCATAAAACTGTAAATCAATTTCTTTAAAATAGACCATACTATTTTTATTATTTGGATGGAAAATGCCTAATTTAGGATTCTCATATAATGTGTTTTCTTCTACTTTATCTAGTCTGTATTCATGTGTTTGCATGTCTGTGTGTTTCTTTTCCATTTTCCCCCATTATCCTTAAGATACAGTAAATACTACCATAATTTTTATTCCTTATAGTTTAAAATAATCTCTTAAATGCAGCTTAATAGCTTACTTTTTGTTGCCTTTACTAGAAAATATCTATTACTTTTTTCATTTTAAAATGTTATTTAATTCAGAATTCTGTTTTTATGAATATTATGTATATTACTCTTTATTCTTTTTTGCTTCTTCTCTTTCAAGTGGAAAATGAAGTAGGCAGTGCTCCTTTATATTTCCAACCCAAACTTAATAATCTGTAGAAGTTGAAATGTTTTTTATAAAATCCATTTTCCACCCCAAGTTTGAATTCTGTTTTTACCCAGAACAGTTGATAAAAGGTCATATGAAAAAATATTGAAACATAAATCATCCTTACAATTGTATTATATAATCTTACCATGTTTAGTTTCCTCTGGTCTCCCTCATAGGATCTTTATTTCTATATCTATGAATTAATGTTCTATATCAGTTAAGGAAATAGATTTATTTCTTAGAATACTTATTCTCTGCTATGAATACACACACACACACACACACACACACACATATATCTGTTGTGAGTGTATCCAAGTATCTTATATTTGTATAAGTCGTGTTTATATCCTAACCCATACATTATCATCCTCCTGTTATATCGAGCATAGGACTTCTAAGGTCTTAGAACTGTTCCATACTTCAGACAGTACATTTAACTTTTAGAAGAGGCAATTTTCTATTATGACTCTAATCAATAATTTCAAACATGCTGCTGAATAGCTTATTCTCTATTCACAAGAGAGAAGAACGAGCAAATAGAGTTCTGTTTTCCTGATATATTCCTGCTATATTATTGCACTACCTCACAGACCAATAAAATATTTCCACGTGTCAAAATAATTGGAAGAGTAGTGATCTATGAAGAATATGATGATTAATGTGAAAACAACTCACTTAAAGTAATTCTCATGTGATCTAAACTCTGGTTATAATGTCAATAATGTTCCAATTTCTAGCTAAAAGTGTCTATTTTATTAATAAAGGGGTCATTCCCACATTATTATTTCCACAACCAAAATGTGTATAGGTGAGTAATTAGGTGGTAGTGAGGGAGAGAGAGGAAAAAAAGAAAAAGAGAAAAAGTAAAAGAAAGGAAACACTTGGCTACATTTGGGTTTGTTAGCATCTTGCTTCTTTTGAGGAACTTAAAATAAGCTATATTTTGATATGTCTTGATAAACATAAAATTAGTCCATCTTGGACAGATGGAAGGTAGCAGAGTTTTACCTGGGAAAACCAAGTGTTTAAATGGATCATTTTAAGGTTACACAGAAAATTTGCAGTAAAGAGGAGAAGGAAATCCAGAATTTGAAGCTTTTATGTCAGCTTCAGGTAAAAGGGATTATGGGTGTATCAACTTATTTTGGACACTCTAAATAGTCTGCTATTTTTAAACTGCTCTTATTTTAGATTAATACTCCCAGATTCATCTCTTCTTTCTCTTTTTTACTAACTTAAAGTAGGGGTAGGAGATAGGCAATTACATAGGATGGGCAGATCATTCCCACCTGCATAACTGCTTTACTTTAATCTCCGGTGGATCACTACTTCTTTGTGTTTACTAGAGATAATAGAAGGCTTTGGAAAAAATGGCCTTGCAATACTAATCTTAATAGCTATCATTTGCTAAGCATTAATATGGGCTTCCCTGGTGGCGCAGAGGTTAAAGCATCTGTCTGCGATGCAGGAGACCTGGGTTCGATCCCTGGAGGAAGATCCCCTGGAGAAGGAAATGGCAACCCCCTCCAGTATTCTTGCCTGGAAAATCTCATGGACAGAGGAGTCTGGTGGGCTACAGTTGACGGGGTCGCAAAGAGTCAGACACGACTGAGTGACTTCACTTCACTTTACTTCACTATGGGGTTAGTGCAAAAGTAATTGTGGTTTTGCCTTGTTGAACTTTGTTATTTGATAATGAAATACATTTGTAAATAAATGGGTTATGTTATACATCATTTTCATATGCATTTCTCACTTCATTTTTTTTTTTTGCTAATGCCTTATTAGTTGCTGTTTATTTTATATTTATTTTAGTCTAGGGAAATGATATTAAGCAAAAAAGCATATTCAAGCAATTTTCTTATTTGAATTCAAAATGGGCCATAAAGCAGTGGAGATAACTCACAACATCAGCAACGCATTTGGCCCAGGGACTTCTTACAACTTTACAGTGCAGTGGTGGTGAGCAAACAGCTTACAGATTCACAGTACAGAGGATCGTTGATGCTGATCCTCTTACAACTGCACGAGAAGTTGCTGAAGAATTCAACATCAACCATTCTATGGTCATTTGGCATTTGAAGCAAATTGGAAAGGTGAAAAAGCTCCATAAGTCAGTGGCTCATGAGCTGACCACATATCAAAAGCATCATCATTAAAGTGTCATCTTCTCTTACTCTTCGCAATAACAATGAAGCATTTCCCAATTGGATTGTGATGTGTGATGAAAAGTGAGTTTTATATGACAACTAGCAACAACCAGCTCAGTGGTTGGACTGAGAAGAAGCTCCAAAGCACTTCCCAAAGCCAAACTTGCACAAAAAAAGGGCATGGTCACTGTTCGATGATCTGCTACAAGTCTGATCCACTACAGCTTTCTGAATCCTGACAAAACCATTATATGTGAGAAAGTATGCTGAGCAAATTGATGTGATGCCCTGAAAACTGCCACACCTGCAGCCGGTGTTGATCAACAGAATGGGCCCAGTTCTTCT